CGCAACAAGTGTGCATACTATCATTAGGCCCTCACTCCTGGAGGTATGCCTACTGGGAAAAGTCCTAGGACAACAGGAAATTGGGCACAAAGCCTAGGGGAGGGGGAGACTGTCAGTTCATCCCCTGCCCTCCCCCCCAAAATTCATTTTACTCACTTTCACTTTAGTGAGAATGGAGACTGACAGAATGTCACAACCTTTCTGGAAGGCAATCAGTAATGTTTGTCAAATTAAAATGTGAATACCCTGACCCAGTAATTCCAACCTATGGAATTGTTTTTTGGATCTAGTAGGCCAACCATGCCAGGATACATGTGCAAGGACCTTGTTTATCGTATTAAAAACAAAAATTGGAAACGAACTAAGTGTCCTTCAGTGTGGGATTATTAGCCAAATTTTGGCACAGCCAGATAATACAATATTCATTATTAAAAGGATGAGATATATCTATATGGACTGATATAGAGCTCTCTATGCCCACAATATATTTTAAAAGGTAGGAGAGTATGAATAGCACCATTCCATTTATATTTTTAAAACATATTTAAAAAAGAAAAACCCACAGACATACGCACACATCCCCAGAGACTTCCTAACGTCTAAATCAGGAGAGGCTGAAAGCAACAGAAAAAGCTCTAGCATAGCCCTCCCTGAGGTAGACCTGTGGTGGCCACATGTGGAGATTATTTAAGAATGACTTGATTTAGACCAGTGGTTCTCAAAGTGTGGCCCCAGGACCAGCAGCCTCAACATCACCTGGGAACTGGTCAGAATGAAATTCTCAGGCCCCGCCCCAGAGCTACTGCAGCAGGAATTTGGCGTGTGGGGTCCACCGGAAGACCGAGACCCACAAAAGCTTGAGAGTCTCCCACCGGGACATCGGAGAGCAGTCATTGAGTTAAGGGGTAATCTGTCACTTTGGGGTGACTGTGCCATAAAGATTCCGTGTACAGGGTGAGGTTTCTCTCGAAGAGAATGAAGGAGGTCTTAGATTGGAGAGAGGAAAAAGAAAAAAAAAAACCTCCTCTCTCCGAGGCTGGGATTCAACTCTAAGCATCGTCTGGGGTAGGCGGCATGAAGGCAGGGTCTGGGCAAGCCGGGGGTCGAAGAACACTGAGCCTCAGTAGCATAGTCTCATATTCTCTGAGTTGCACTCTCTCATTCCTCTCGTCCTCAGAGCTCCAGAGAAGTCTCCTGAAAAGTGACTCTGGTCTCAGCTGTTCTGTGGCAGGGAAAGCAGCGTCCATCCCCACTCAGGCCAGAGAGGTGGGAGCAGCCATTGCTAGGTTAGCAGGGAGCTGTACCCAGCCAAGGGCAGCCTCACAGATGTCACCAACAGGAATGGCGCAGTGCGGTGGCCGGGGAGAGAGCCAGAGCCAAAGAACCCTGAGCACGCCTGAGGCGGTGCCCTGGGAGAGGCTCAGAAAATGCTGGAGGACACACACTTGGCAGGTATCAGGGCAGAGAAGAAAGGGAGGGATTTCTAGAAGTAAACTGGAGTGAGTCCTTGCTGTCGTAATCTGGAATTTAGCAAGAAGGGTGGACAGGTCTGGAAAGCGGGATCTGACAGAAACAACAGTGTGTCAGGACTTCCCTTCCAAGCACTCACCACAGTTTTATTTTACATTTATCTGCGAGATCATTTAATTCTCTTCCTCTCCCTCTGGGCTGTAAGCTTCATGAAGGCAGGACACTGTATGTTTTCACTCACCACTATGTTCCCCGTTCCTAGCTGGTACATAGTATTTGCTCACAAAACAGGTGGGATAAATAGACAATTTAAGTTAAAATGCTCTAGAGCATTTGATTATTCTTTCTCTGTGTCGTTGACTTTTTGTTTTGTTAGTTTTTGCCCAGACAGCATATTATCATATGAAAGTATACTACCAAAAAGCATATTACCAAAGGAAGGTATTTCCGTTTTGGAGAGAGTCATCTCATAAATACGGTGTTGGAGGCTTTAGTCTCTGAGTTGTAAGCACTTGTTTAGAAAGGCAAAAGGATGTAAAAGTTAGGATGTATTAGGATGTATTTTGCCAGAAATACATAGAAACAGACCCACATTGGCCGTCAGCTTTTATGGCCAGCCTGATGCCCTCAGATGTTGCTATATCCCAGAGTGACTCGGGAATCAAAGATTAATTCTGCACAGAATTAATGAAGAGAGCTTCTAGGCATTACGGTTTGCTGAAAACTGACCATCCACATATGATAAAACAGCATGTACTACCCTCAGCAAATGCCAGGCATCTCCAACACAGAGTCAGCGCGCAGCTGCAATGACGTCACAAGGACACAGGCGACCCACCGGGCCCTCTGATGACAGGAAGGATCATTACCAGTCACGCTAAGATCTGAGAATGTGGCAGTGGAACAGAAAGGACAGACATTTCAGAGAGGACTGCAGAAATAGGGACAATAAATTGAGAAGTTTAGCAAATAATCCCACCCCTTAGCCTAAGAAGTTTCCCCTGACCTAGAGAGAAGGGAAGTTATAAAATTAAATTTTTATAAACACACATGTGGCATCTTTGGCTTCAAACAAGCAGCAAGGCGTGTGGCCATGCTGCCCAGGGTCAGCGGTCCATCCCTGCCAAACTCTCGGGGCTGTGTGGTCACAGTACTGACCATACTCTGTGCACAGGAGGGATTAATCCTGCCACAGATGTGACAGGCAGAGAGGGGTCTTGCCACAATCCACAGCAAGCTCCCTCAGCCACTGCAGTTCAGTCTAAGCATCTCGGAAGCCCACCACCATAAAAGGCCTTACACTTCGGTTTGGAGGTTGACGTTCTATGAAACTCCGGATAAAAGGAATGGGAAGTGCCTCTCTTCCCCCTGGCCTCCCTGCCCGCCCCGCCCCCCCCCCATTCCCCTTGAACTCAGGGTCAGACTTCTAGGGAACCAGATCCTATCTGGGAACAACCCAGCGGTCAGTACAAAGAGACATCTCCCACCCGTCTCCCCGAAAGGGCTTTCAGAGGGAGCTCGGACACTCTTATCTCCGCATGCAGAGGCTGGGTAATTGCCGGGCTGACCCTCGGGAGCCTCTTGCCCTGCTCACCTTTCACTATAATGCGTGGTACAGCATAATCATGAAATGTGCTTATTAATTTTACTCATTTGACACTGCGCTCTTCTGCCCTGAGCTAGATGTTAGGAGAAAATGATAGGGATAGATTCTGCTCCTGTCAGACTTACCAAGACTTTCAGAAAACCAGACTATCAAAGGCCATCTGCCACCCACTAGCCGAGCTTTCAAGATGACCCCAAAGGTACAAACAGGATGTTAAAGACACAGATCAACAAAGGAGAACAGCAAGAAGATGTGGAGACCCATGCCCTGGGTGTGAGCCCCCCGCATGAGCCCTCCCAGGAGAGCAACCCCTGAGCCAGTCCTCCCAGAGATCACGAGCACTGAGCCCCTGCCCTGATTCATGACTTGCTGCTTCATGTCTAATTCATCAAACGACACTTTGGCTTCTCAAATCAGGAACATTTTTATTAGCTTCCCCAAGAGTTTTATGGCACAAAGCCATATCTAATGATTCTATTTTATGGCAAGTTATACATTCAAACAGTGCTTTGAAGTCAGACAGCAGGTAAGACTCAAATCTTTGTCAAAAAAGATTCCCTTGTCCTTTCACTTTTAAAATGTTTATAAGCTTTCAAACAGTTGCGGAAGTGATGTGGAACATTTTAACAGGCTTCTCCTCCCCTGGACGGGACCCGGCGCTGGCTGAGCCAATGTCTACTACAGCCTTCCCAATGGAGGCTGCTTTTGCCCCTCTGACCCCTCCACCTAGGGACATCTGGCAATGTCTGCACACATTTTTGGTTGTCACAACTGGGGGGGGGGGGCGGAGGGAGGTTAATGTTACTGGTATCTAGTAGGTGGAGGCCAGGGATGCTAAGCGTCCTATATATGTAGCACAGGACAGCCCCCCAACACAGAATTTTCTGATTATCTGGCCCAAAAGGTCACTAGTGTCAAGGATGAGAAACCATGTTTTAGGGCTTCTTCTGGACCAGGCGCTGTATCCCTCCCACCCCTGGGACATCAGATGCCAATCTAATCATGGTGGCAGGTTTTCAGTGCTGGCTAATGAGCCTTGTATTCTTTTTATTCTTATACATTCTTGGTGCACACTTTCAGTAAACAAGAACAAAATGCTGTCTTAAACAAAATGAGGAAAGTGAAAATAAGATCACCTTAGAATCTCAGGACACATGACCACAGTCACTGCTAACTAAACCCTCCTAATGTTACTCTGCACCTTTTAAGCAATTTATCTACTGAAACAACAAAATAACCAATTCCAGCCATCAGTACTACTGAACACCACCACAGACGCCGGCCCGGCTGAAAAGCAAAGCAAGTTCTCTGCTAAATTGTAGTGGTGTGATCAGTCAGAGCAGTGGACTCGGAAGGGGGTCTGGTCCTGATTCACCACTCCCAAGGACTGGGACTCGGGCCTCTGTCACCTCACTTGTCGGACCTTGGGTTCTCTTAATCAGCAAAGTGGAGAAAAAGCTACTTGCCCTCCTAGCCTTCCAGGGAACTGTGAGAGCCAAATGACTTCACAGGGAGGAAACTGCTCTGCAAACTGTAAAGAGCTATGAGAATGTGTGGCAATACACTGATGACACTTAACGCATGCATGACAACCTATGACAAAGATCTTTCAGACTCTTGGATCCTGTTCCTGAAATTTCACAATTGGAAGTGAGTTTAGAAATCAACAGAGCCAACCCTTTAGTTTTACCCAAGGTGAAAATGACCATCACAGAGGTCAAGTGACTCGGCCAAGGCCAGGAAACAGCCCAGGTGGACTCAGGTCCTCTGACTCCCAAACCAGGACACTCCCACACCTTCCCACTGGTGAGGCTTTCCCTCCCTGTTTAAGTTCCCAGAGGGAAGGAGCACATTTGCACACAAGGTTCGGGGGGTCTTGAACACAGGAGATAAATATTGGTTGAATTAGTGGATCTTGACTTACTACATCATAGCCTGTTGGGGCTCGGTTCCGAGAAGCCACCACCCCCACTCCCGTGATGGGATCCATCGACGTCTCTGGCAAAGCTTCTGAAAGGTCTTTGACTTCAGGCATTGTGGATTGGTCCTGGTTCCGAAAAGGAAAGAAAGCACAAAATTCAAACTGACCATTTAAAGCGAATGATACAAAGTCTCAAACAGAACCAGAAACTTGGTGCAAACATCCTGAGCTAAGCTCCATATACCTGAACTAGCTAGAGGAGCCCTGGCCTTACCTGACCCTTTCCTCAGATCAAGAACTCAAGTCATCTCTAACCCCTGCCCTTCTCACGTTGGCTCTGAACACTGAGCTAACAGAGTTAATGAGGGCCTGTCCCTGCTCGGGGAGGTAACTTTGACTCAAACCCAGAAGCAAACCATTCTTAACACTCTCAACAAGCTGCCTGACTTCTGAACAGATACCAGTAGCGCCTCTGAGAAAGCAGACACAGCTGAATCTAACACCACTGTTCACTTCTCTCCCTTACAGTATCTCCTTGTGGAGGTGCAGACTTCCAAATCCACAGCCTCTCGCACAACCAAGCGTGGACTGTTCAGTAGGCAGAGCTTTGCAAAAACATGGAAGAAAGTGTTCTGGGAATGCAGGCAAAGGAATGGCGTTCAAGTCCAGGCTCCATGGTTTACCGGCTGGTGACTTTGAGCAAGCAAGAGGTCACGATACGGACACTCACAGAGCTGCTGTGAGATCTAAGGGAGTCACATAAATGAAGGGCCTGGAGGAGTCCCTGGCACACAGTAGGCACTCAACAAAAAGCAGATGAGACTGGCAGGTTTGGGGCCCACAGGTCCAGCGTAAGTGGCTGGAAATATGGTAGGTGCCATTCCTGGGAGGACTGGCAGGTGCCTTTGTTGTGTTTAATCCCGCAGGTCATGTGGGCACTTACTCAAAGCTAAACACTAACAATGACCATAATTCTTGCTGGGCACTTCGGGAGAAAGGAAGGGGAAATGGAATTATTCCGCTGCTGACTGCCTCTTGATGTGACCAGAGGAGACAAGGAGAATATAGAGAGCACCGGGTCTGGGCAGCTGGAGTGGCAGTGCACCAGAAAGCAAATAAAAGAGGTAACACCCTATGTAAATGACTTCTAGTACTTTTAAAAGGACAAGCAGTGAAAAAGAGCACGTTAAATTCCACCTCCTTCTGCAGCAATTAAATTCCACTGGCTGTAGGTCTATCAGATCGCTCAAAGCTGGTTACTGCTTCTAAAGCAAACCAAACACCCTGCCTAACTAGGCGGGGAGAAGAAATATTCTTAGTTCTCAGCCTAGAATCAGAAAAGGCAGAGGCTATTAAAAATGACTGCAGCCTTCTAAATGGGAACAATCAGAATGCTATATGCAAGTCACCCATGTAATCAGTGTCCCCTGAAGCCCACAAAAGGCTCCGGAAACTGACTTGTCAATGAAATTGAGCCAAGTCTCCAATCAAGGCTAGGAAGTGCCTGGCAGAAACCACACTCTCAACTTCGGTTCATGACAAAAGCCAAACTAAGTTATGCTTTACTTAATTCTACTGAAAATGAGCTTCTAGAAGCCCAGGGCAGGGGGTAGGATACCATGCCACACCACTGCATCATTTTCTATTTTCAGATTTCATTTACCAGGCAGGTTTATATAAAGCACCGGGCTTGGTGCTTCCTGCACAAAGTAGGCAGGAAGCAAGTATTTATTGAATGAATAGGTATGCATGCCCCCAGTAAAGAAGGTTTAGCGTTAAATATCTGCATCAGCCCAGTCCAAAGCAAACACTACTCAAAAAGTATCATCACTTGGAAAATCCCATAGTATTGGTAGCATGAATATAACACCACTGCAGTTTGAAAAATATGGGTACCTGCTGTTGGTTACCAAAACGCTTTGCAATTAACAACTCATTAACGGGAATGTACAAATTCTGCCAGTGCTAAAATATCATGCTGTGAATTTAATAAAACATCCGAGGTAAGTTTTTTTTTTTTATCATTATTAAGATAGTACTGCCTCTACTTTGTGAGAGAGAGAGGAGGCAAGCATGGGAATAAATAAATATTTTATTTGCTGACGGGTTCCCGTCCCCGGGTCACGACGTCCTCGCGAGGCGCGGGTGATAACGGCTCTCCCCGCCCGAAGCCGGCGGTCAAGGGCAGTGGGGAAACTCGCCCCCTGGAGCCCCGCCGCTCCCACAATGCACCGGGGAGGCAGCCCGGCCGCAGGTTCCAAGATGGCTGCGAGCTGCCTCCAGCTGAGGCAGACAAAGGAGCCGGCGGCCTGTGCCCATGCGTGCACGGTCCCAGCCCAGCCTGCAGACGGGAGGTTGCGACAGCAGAGCATGAGCACAGAGCATCTCGGATGCACGCCTCCTTCTTCCCTTTCCCCCCAGTTGCTGTACCCTGGGGATCAAGGCAGCCTTTGTGAAATACAGACAAATGACTCCTCGCGGCGCGGGGCCGTGGCCGGCTCCGCGGTGGAGGAAGCCCCACCACCAGCAAAGGAAGCTTTTAATGAGAAACGCCCAAGATATCCATGGCAGAGGCAATCACTCAAAGCAGCTTGCCCTGAATTACATATTTTCTGACTGCAAATTACTTTTAACAGCGTCTCTACCGTCACTTCAATTGACCTTCCTAACAAAAGGCCATTTATTAACTAGCACTCCACGTTTCCCGGGCTGTGTGGAGCCTCGAGCCAGAAGGGATGGCACCGCCGAGTACTCAGCCGCCCAGGGTCACAGGCCAGGCCTCTGAGAGGGGAGAAGGGGCCATTAATGCAAGCCTGCAGAGCAGATCTGCCGGGGAGGGAAGGGTGGGGAGCGGGCTGTTTAAGACCAACATTAACCTGTGTGGCAAGAGGCAACGCTGGTCTAAAACATAAAATACCAAGGCCTACTTGCAGCAACCCCTGATTTCATCCTCAGCAGCTCCGCAGCAGATCGAGAGAGACCCACTGCTGTCTCAAAATCCTAATTGCACACAAAACACACTGACACACCCAGCTGCATTTGTACAGCACTTTGCAATTCGCAAAAAGCTTTCTTAGGCTCCTTCTTGACTGATGATCATACCAAACCTGGAAGGTGGCTGGGTCTAATTACTTTTATTTTAGAGAAGACAAAAAATTTAGAGAAGAAGGCCCAAAGTTGTCAGCCGCCATGCAACTGGCAGCTGGCCCACCTGAACAGGACCTACCTCTAGTCCTCCTTCCCAGATCTGATCTGCTTTCCATGACACTGTGCTGAGAGACCAACATCCCATCTGATACCCACCTGAGAAAGCAGTTTCAACACTAATTATATTTAAAAATGCCAAAGCTCTTGTTTCTCCAGCTATAGCCCAGTAAGTGAAGCAAGGGGGAGAAAAGTACAGAAAGATAAAAGTAACATGGGATTAATTTTCCTCACACCTCAGTTTCAAGATTCAACATTTCCCTCATAAATAATTTACAACAATAAAAATGAGCTAAGGCCATGTTTGTGTAGGACGGAGGTAAATTTAGGCCTAATGAGGGAGATCCGAGCACTGCACAGGAGGGAATAGGTTGATGTATAGCACTGTGCGCGTGCAATCGACAGCACACAGGGGCTCCATTACCAACTGGAAGTCTCGAGGCCCACCAGGAGGAGGGGGGAGCAATTGAGGGAAACTTCTACCATCCAAGCTGTGGCTGCAAGGGGAGTCTCTGCAGGGAGAGCCAAAAGTTGACCAGTATTTTAGATGACAAGACAACAGAGGCTGAGATTTCTCAGGACTAAAAGATTGAACCAGCCTGAAATTAAGTCAGTTCTCAGTAAATGCCAGGTGAGGAATCAAGCTGGTGATGGCACCTGGGAGTCACGTCTGCTGGCGGACAAAGGGAGAGTGCAGTGGCAACACTGGCCTTGAGCTGGTCCTCCTCACTTAACCTCGTGGGTCATCTGGCCCCAATCCCCATCCCAATCTCTACCCCAGGTGCATGGCCAGCCTCCACTATATCATTTCCAAGGCTGGGGGCTGCTATTCCTATGTCTGCCCCAAGAGGATTTCTCCGCCAGGCAGGAGAGTACGTATGAATGTGTTGGTGTGTGTGTGTGTGTGTGTGTGTGTGTGTGTGT